CACCTGGAAATTGGCAACCCTCGCTGTTGATCCCACACATAGCCCATAGACAGCATTGAAACTCTGGGGCATTCACTCAGTGTCTGGAGTGTTGCACTAGGATCCTGGAGACCCAGGTTCGAATTCCCCACTGTGCCATTGGAAGCTCGCTGGGTGACCTTGGGCCAGTCACACATGCTCAGCCTAACCTACCTCACAGGGTTGTTGTGAGGATAAGATGGAGCCGAGAACGGTGTAAGCCACTTTGATTCCCCATTGGGGAGAATGGGGAGAAATAAATAATCATGAGGTTCAAAAGTGGGACCTGTCTTGCAGGAATGAGAGCCAGTGGAGTGGCTGGATTCTCAGACCAGGACCTGGGAGACCCAGGTTTGACTCCCCACTCTCCCCTAAGAGCCAGGATCCAATGGACACTTGAAAGCTCTCCAGCTGTACTATAGCTTGTCCCGGGATGGCAGTCAGCCATCAGCGGTCTTTTGGCGAGCTGGGTCTGTGACCCTTGGAACTTGAAGTGAATGTTCTTAGAAGTTCCAGGTGCAATGTCCCTGTGTCTTAGACCTCCAGACTTCGTTGCAAGAGAGACTAGATAGCTAGATGGGCACACTGACCTTTCTTCCTGTGTTTACTCTTCTGCCACCGTCCCCTTTGAAATGCAAATTGTGTTCTCAGGGACAATTTTCTTCCTTCCGTTCACTCTCTCAGACGAAGACGAACTCTCTCCCTGCACGCACCCAGAGTTAGACGTGCTGTCCTCTCTTGGCACCATGAGGCAGATGGGCCTCTCGCCATCTGCTTCCATCCTTAGCTAGTAAGTTAGTGCTCTATCCTGTCTCTACTCTTTCCTATCCAAAGTGTACTTTGCAAATAAAGAGAGAAGTATTTCTCTTTTAAACATGCAACATGACTCTGTATAGCTTTGTAAGCTGAGTAACCTGGTAAAGTAATGCTGCTGTGTTTGTTGCTTTATTTAAGCACTCTGCTAACTAGTGGGAACTGGACTAACCACACACGTTAACTCTCCAATAGGTTATGGGCCCAGCATGCTTCCACTGCATTTGTTGCTTTATTTAAGCACTCTGCTAACTAGTGGGAACTGGAGTAACCACACCAGTTAACTCTCCAATAGTTTATGGGCCCAGCATGCTTCTGCTGCGTTTGTTGCTTTATTTAAGCACTCTGCTAACTAGTGGGAACTGGACTAACCACACACGTTAACTCTCCAATAGGTTATGGGCCCAGCATGCTTCCACTGCATTTGTTGCTTTATTTAAGCACTCTGCTAACTAGGGGGAACTGGACTAACCATACCAGTTAACTCTCCAATAGGTTATGGACCCAGCATGCTTCTGCTGCGTTTGTTGCTTTATTTAAGCACTCTGCTAACTAGTGGGAACTGGACTAATGCTGGCATTTTGTGGGTGCAGCATTTCATGAGGGAAGCCTCTCTTAGCATGCTTTCAGAGGGAGACTTCTTGGGGGTCCAGGTCTGCGGAAACCCTGTAACTTGTGCAGGAACCACATCAGTCCCAGCTACTTCAGATGTCAAATTGGGGGTTTACAGAAGCAGCAGGACTGCTGATCTCTACTATCACTAAATTGGTGTGTTCTAGTTGGATTAGGAGTAGGCTGTGGAGCTGGAAGACCCGGGTGCAAGCAGGCCCGTAGCTAACAACTTTTTGCTCAGGGGGCCCATGTTTTTCTCAGGGGCCCACCACCAATGTTCCCTCTAAGCTGTGGAGTTTTGTGAGCAAAACTTCTACTTTGTGAGCTACTACCATTAAAGTTGTGAGAGAGCAATTTGGCTGCCACATAAATTAGTTTGCTCTGGAGCCATCCTTCCTGAGCTAACCACCCACCGCCCTCGCCTCCGCAGAAGGCCAGCCGGACTGCGAGGGGGCACAAGAAAGCAACCGAGTCCGGGCTGAGGAGGGGGCGGAAATCTGAAGGCTGGGAGGGAAGGAGTCCAGCCCCAGCCGGAGGAGGAGGAGGGTGCCGCCCGGCAGAGGCGATGGCACAGACCCGTCAGATCTTGGTTACCCCCGCCCCTAGCCAGGCTCTTCCTCCGCCCGGGCTGCAATGGGACTTGCTGGCCGGGGAGAGGCCAGGCAGGGCACGCCGGGCCGGGAGAGAGGGAGGCTGCTGTGCAGTAAACGGGGCAGCGCTGGACCTACCCCGGGGGTCAGGGAGGAGGAGGAGGCAACCAGGCGCGGCGTCCGTCCCAGCCAGCGGCGGTGGCTCCCGGAGTGAGTCCCGCTGGGGGCGCCCAGGAGGAAGCGGCCCCCTGCTCGCTCAGGGCTTGGCAGCTCCTGCTCCAAGAAGCTGCGCTTCTGGGCAGGCAGCGGCTACTCGGCTTGCCGCTCTCCCCCCACCCCCAATGCAGGCGACGAGTGGGGCGCGGGGGAGGGGGGAGCAGAGGATCAGGGGGAGGGGGACCGCAAAACCCGTGGGGGGGCGGGCCCCGAGGGCCCCATGCAGGCTACAGGCCTGGGTGCAAGTCCAGCCAATGCCTGCCTAGAATTTCACCATCTCTTCACCCTTTGGAAGTATTGCTTGCAGCGGTGGGCTAGAGAATTCTCACTATCCACTGCAGTTAGTGGAAAGCATGATTTTGATTGGGTCAGCAAGATATTTGCAACCCAGGGACACATGAAGCTGCCTTTTACTGAATCAGATCCTTGGTCCCTCAAAGTCAGTATTGCCTACTCAGACTGGCAGCAGCTCTCCAGGGTCTCAGGCAGAGGTCTTCCCCATCACCTACTACCTGACCTCACCTTCGAACTGGAGATGCCTGGGACTGAACCTGGGACCTTCTGCACACAGAGCAGATGCTCTACCACTATGCCATGGACGCTCCTTAAATGAAGCTGCCTCCTAGTGAATCAGACCATCAAAAAAAAAAAGTGAATCAGACCATCGGTCCATCAAGGTTAGTATTATCAACTCGGACTGGTGGCAGCTCTCCGGGGTCTCAGGCAGAGGTAGTCTTTATTTATTTATTTATTGATTGATTGATTTATATCCCACCCTCCCCAAAGGCTAACAATGAGGCATGAATGTCAAAGTTAAAACAGTAAAAAACTTTCACATCACCTAGCCAGTTTGGTGTAGTGGTTAAGTGTGCGGATTCTAATCTGGGAGAACCGGATTTGATTCCCCACTCCTCCTCTTGCACCTGCTGGATGACCTTGGGCAAGCCATAGTTCTGGCACAGTTGTTCTTGAAAAAAAGCAGTTTATGTCAGAGCTCTCTCAGCCCCACATACCTCACAGGGGGTCTCTTGTGGGGAGCGGAAGGGAAAGGAGTTTGTAAGCTGCCCTGAGACTCCTTTGGGTAGTGAACGGTGGGGTATAAATCTCATCTCTTCTTCTTCTATTACCTGACCCTTCTAACTGGAGATGCCGGGGACGGAACCTGGGACCTTCTGCATGCAAAGCAGATGCTCTGCCACTGAGCCACAGCCCCTCCCGGGCACACCTAGTGACTCCGGAGTCCCAGGCAAAACAGTTGAGACCCCAGAATTACTGGCCGGGAGGGGGATGGGTGTGGCACCTGTGTCACACCACCACCCCTCTCATTGCCACCACCAGACCTGACCCCTGCTGCTGCTCAGTTGGGTGTGGGAGCACCCAGTTTGTGTTCCTCTCGCTCAGGTCCTGTTAGGGTTGCCAAGCTCCAGGCAGGACCTGGATATCTCCTGGAATTCCAACTGATCTTCTGTCTATAAAGATGAGTTGCCCTGGAAAAACCAGCTGCTTTGGAGGGCGGACATTATACCCTGCTGACTGAGGACCCAGCCCTCCCCAAGCCACGCCCTCCTTGGGCTCCACCCCCGAAATTTCCAGGAATTTCCCAACCTGGAGCCAGCAACCCTAGTTCCTCTCTAACTCTCTCAATGGGCTGTGGAGACAAACACAGTATATGTATTGAAGTACACCTGAAAAGCAAAGCCCGTGTGGTATAGTATTTCGAGTTTTGGACTAGGTGCTGGGAGACCCAGGTTCGAGTCCCCACTCTGGCATGCTGGGTGACCTGCGGCCAGTCACAGTCTCAGCCTAACCTACATCACAGGGTTGTTGTGAGGATAAAACAGGAGAGGAGAGGTGGTAGTTCCACTCCTGCTATGGTCAGGCCTCACCTGGAGTTCTGCCTACTCTGCTATGGTCAGGCCTCACCTGGAGAAAGGATTTTAGAAAGGATGTTGACAAGATCAAGCGTGTCCAAAAGAGGGCAACCAGGATGGTGAGAGGGCTGGAATCCAAGTCTTACGAGGAAAGGCAGAAAGAGTTGGGTATGTTTAGCCTGGGAAAGAGAAGGCTTAGAGGGGACATGATTGCAGTCTTCAAGTATCTGAAGGGCTGTCATGTAGAAGATGGAACAGATCTATTCTCTCTTGCTTCGAATTGCAAGACTAGGTCTAATGGGTGGAAATTACAAGGGAGTCGTTACCGGCTAAATATCAGGAGAAATTTCCTAACTGTAAGAGTGGTTGAGCAGTGGAACAGACTGCCTCGGGAGGTAGTGGATGCTCCTTCGCTGGACGTTTCCAAGCGGAGGCTGGACGGCCATCTTTCGGGTATGTTGTAGGGCTATCTTTCGGCTATGCTCCTGCAGAGTGCAGAGGGTTGGACTAGGTGACCTGCAAGGTCCCTTCCAGCTCTAACATTCTATGATTCTATGAGAATGATGTCACCTGCTTTGGGTCCCCACTGGGGAGATAGGCGGGATATAAATAGATAAAGTAAATAAATGAAGTGAATAAATGATCCATATACACAACGTTGGGATGTAAAGAATAGATTCAGTGCCCGGCGCCACGTGTAACATGAGGGAGACCTGCATGCTTCCCTCCTCTCCAACTCAGAACCCACATCCCAACCCCGCCTCTCCAGCTTCCGTTCCTGGCTTTGCTCTGCCGGGTGACCTCGTCAAAAAAACCCCAGAGACCGTTTTCTGGAATCCCGAGCGGGTTTCACTCTCCGAGAGTAAAATCACGTCCGTTTTTATGCCTCCGCTTCGGACGCGCCCGCATACAGAGTCGTAACGTTCCCGTCCTTCCACTGGACCGACACCTCTCCTGCGTTTTGGACGGTCGGAAGCAAACTCTCTGTGGTGGCTTCTTCCTGCAGAGACACGAAGCCTTGCTTTGTTTCTGTCCCATTGGGCTGGGCGTCTTTGTACTCCTCGCTGTGCGAACACGCGGACTTCCGGTTCCTAAGAGGAAAGAATAAAGAAACGGAAAGACGTGGCTTGGGACCGGAGTATCTGAAGGACCGTCTTCTCTCATACGTTCCCGCCTGGGAATTCAGATCACAGGGAGAAGCCCTCCGGACTCTCCCACTGACCAAAGAAGCTCGTCTGACGGTGTCACAGAACTGGGGCTTTAAGGCCTAAGTTTTTGCATTCTTCAGCAAAGTACTAAGTTGTGACTGGACTGTGTAAGACCTACAGTGTTAATAGATAACAAGTACCTGCTGCAAATTACCGGTTGCCTTAACAGCAGCCAGCTGGAAGCGGTCAAAACACCAACTTGGCATGTCTAGATCTTGGCAGTTCTCAATCTAGATGGAGTGATCTAGATTGTGATTGACCTGTCAATTAGCTCATGACAGCTGGACTAGTATTTAGCCAGGAGTCAGGGATAGCTAAGCAAGAGATCATGGGAGTACGATTTCTGGTAATGCCAGGAGCTTTGCAAAAGAGCCCTTGCCCGCAAGACATCAGGAAGTGACAAAAGGAGGCTTCAGTTTGAGAGCCAGTGGGCCTGGAGGAGGAAGTTGTTATTCCTTGGTGAACACTGCTTTGGCATCTGCTGCTGGAAACAAGCTGCTCAGGTTCAGTGCACCAGATAGAGAGGTTTGTTTTGTTGCCTTTGTTCTATGTACACACCCTTTCCCCCTACTTGTATGTTTTATCATTGTGTTATATTTGTAAATAAATTTGATGTTGTTTTTAAGTCTGATTGGCAGGGGTCCTTTGGGGCCGGAGCACGCCAGAGCACCGCTCCGGCAGCCCGGGAGAGGGCAGAAGCCCCACCCCCATCTCCCCACCCTGCCCCCCCAGCACCTTCTCTCTAGAGTCACACCACAGCAGCGGCACAATCTTCCCATTATATTCTATGGCCCCATGGAATATAATGGGAAGATCATTCTGCAGTTTAAACCCCTTCTCTCTTCGCTTCCCCCCCACCCCGCGTTGGCAAGCCAGCTGAGGAAGCAAAAAAGGGCATCTTAAAAAGCCCCCCCTTCCCTTCCCTTCCCTTCCCTTCCCTTCCCTTCCCTTCCCTTCCCTTCCCCAGCCAGCCTGCCAAGGCGGGGTTGGGGGGAAGCGAAGAGAGAAGGGGGTTAAACTTTAAACCCCTTCTCTCTTCATTCCCCCACCAGCCCGCCTAGGGAAGGGAAGGCTTTTGAAGATGCCTCCCCCCCCCTTTGCCTCCCCTTCTGACATCACTTCCAGTGATGCCAGGGGGCGTGGCATATGCTAATGGTCTATTATGCTAATAGCCTATTAGGTGTGCTAATGGGCTCCTGCAGCCCTTTTCCTACTAAATGGCCCCTGCTGATTGGAATAAGTTACTAACCCAAAGAACCCACACCCATGCTACCGGAGAGAATCTAAGGCACCACCAAGGATTTCACCCACAACAACAACTGGTTTGGACAACCCAAGCCTTAAGAGACAGACCCCTTGGCAAAGGTTTGTGACAGATAAAATTGTGTGTACATGAGGCAGAGCCTTTTTCGTGGCAGCCCCATGATTATGGAACAACCTTCCCCGGGGAGGTGTGCCTGGCCCCCTCCCTTTTAATTTCTAGGAGGCACTTGAAGATGGTTTTATTTAGGGATTGAGTTTGGTTAAGCATCTGGCCAAACATCCTCTTTCCGGGAAGACCCCCTCCATTGTGGCAGTGAAGGTCCTAAATCCTCTCTTACCTGTTTGCCACGACGTTGAGCGCCAGCAGCACGACGCCTAAGAAGAGAACCGCAAACGACAGACCCAGAATGCAGTAATTCCATGTGGAAGCTACAGGAGCAAGCACAGTTTGAGGGGCAAGATGAGTTAAACAGCTCAAACTCCGTCCCACCTTGAGAGCATCCTCTCCTTCGCCCTTGACCGGAGTTGTGACTTTTTTGTCTGCCCAGAAAAGGGGGGCGGCGGTGATGGAGGAAAGTTTCACCTCATGGTTATGCCTCTTAAGGGACAAAAGGTTGCTGCCACCACATGAAAGCGTGGGACCTTTGTGGTAGAGGGGAAAAAGAGGTGTCCGTACTGTGCCTGTCTCCCCCCCGAAAAAAGACTATAACTAACAGCAGATCTGGAGACAGAACGCAGTCTATCAGGAAAACGGCCTGGGGAGGGAAAGGGTTAAAAGAGAACTACTAAATCTCCAGGGCCCTGATCCAAGGTGGCAGCCAAGAGGAAGGAGATCTAGGTAGGGTTGGCTCATCTCCAGCTGGGTCCTGGAGATCTCCCGAAATCAGTTCCCTTGGAGAAAACGACTGCTTTAGAGGGTAGATTGTACAGCATTATACCCTGATGTTACCCTTGCCCCAAATCCTGCCCTCTCCATCCTGAAAACCTTCTTCCCAACTGGTAACTAGGGATGCCAGCCTCCAGGTGGGACCTGGGGATAGAGATGTAAAATTTCCGGAAATTTTGAAGCTTGGAAAAAACCCCAGGTTTTTTTTCCAGAAAAAAAATGGAAATTTTCGGGGAAAATTGGAAAAAAATGCTACATTAGCACTTCTTTTTTCTTTTCCAGACTGAACGTCATTCTGTTAATTTAGGAACATAAAATATGACTATGGACATTTTTACTTGGCATGAAATTATCACAACTAGCATATTAAAAATATAGTGCATCCAAACAATTATTACAAACAGAATATCCACCCACATGCAAAAATAAAACTGAAACCTTTTTCTTTTCTTGTGACAATAGAAGAAGAAGAGGAGGAGGGGGAGATTGGATTTATACCCCGCCCTTCACTACCCGAAGGAGTCTCAGAGTGGCTTACAAACTCCTTTCCCTCCCCCTCCCCCTCCCCCTCCCCACAACAGACACCCTGTGAGGCAGGTGGGGCTGAGAGAGCTCTTGACAGAAACTGCTCTTTTTCAAGAACAGCTCTTATCAGAACTATGGCTTGCCCAAGGTCATCCAGCAGGTGCAAGTGGAGGAGTGGGGAATCAACTCGGTTCTCCCAGATTAGAATCTGCGCACTTCACCAGTACACCAAACTGGCTACACCAAATAGCACCTCCTAAAGGAAGAAATGCATCTTGTTCTTGCACTGGAGAGTTCAGTTTGTAACCTAGGACTTGCTTGTCCTCAGTGCACAGAAATTACATCAATCTGATACTATATATATATTTTAGAAATGATTTGGAAAATATTTGAACACCTGGTCTTAACATATTTTATTCATCATGTTAAAATAAAACGTTCCATAATCAATTTTTTTTCTTTTCTTTTTGCAATTTTTCGGGGGAAAAAACAAAAAAAGGCTTCAGGGGAAAACCGGAAAAAACCCGGTTTCCCCCCAAATTCTTCCGGTTTTTTTTCCGGGCATTCACATCTCTTTCTGGGGATCCCCCAGAATTTTAGCTCATCTCCAGACTTACCGAGATCGCTTCCCCTGGAGAAAATGGATGCTTCGGAGACTGGTCTCTGTCCTCCCCAGGCTCCACCCCCAGGTCTCCAAGAGTTTCCTGACCTGGATCTGGCAACCCTACCCCCCCATCCCCCGCCAGTGGCCAAGGGGGGACCTGACTACCCTACTGCCCGCACTAGACTCAGACATGGTCCAGAAGGGACATTTGCTAAAAGTGGTGCATCATGGCTCATGGCCTGGGAGTGATGTGCCTAACTGCCCTTTAACAGGCAAGCCCATCATTCCTAAACAGTTGCCAACTGTTTATTTCCCTTGAACCAGGGAGAAAAACAGAAGAAGAAGAAGAAGAAGAAGAGGAAGAGGAAGAGGAAAAGGAAGAAGAAGAGGAAAAGGAGGAAGAAGGAAGAAGAAAGAAGAAGGAAGAAGAAGGAAGAAGAAGAAGAAGAAGAAAGAGGAGGAGGAGGAGATTGGATTTATACCCTGCCCTTCACTACCCAAAGGAGTCTCAGAACAGCTTACGATCTCCTTTCCCTTCTCCTCCCTCCAACAGACACCCTGTGAGGTAGGTGGGGCTGAGAGAGCTCTCTTGAGAACTGCCCTTGAGAGAACAGCTCTGAAAGAACTTGTGACTGACCCAAGGTCACACTAGCAGCTGCATGTGGAGGAGGAGCGGGGAATCAAACCCGATTCTCCCGGATTACGATCCGCGCTCCTAACCACTACACCAAACTGGCTCCCAGTGCACACTTGTTTCCACCTCTGCCAGTGAATCCTGCCAAGCCGGGTTGTGTCAGAACTTACGGTCCTCTGTACGGAAAAACCATATCAACTCCTGCAGCTTCTCTGGAGTCATCATGTCCATTTCGGGGAGGGAGTTCCCCGCTGAGATATCATGAGGTCCCGAGTTGGTCAGGGCCGCGGCCAAAAGTCTACGTTGGTCTTCCTCCATGGTCGGATTGGCGGGGAGCACAGAGATGGCACCTGACTGGACTTTCAGTGAGAAAGGTGGCCTATAAATTAAAAAAAAAAATACACAGAATTGACAGGGACTGGGACTGGCAATTGATTCGTTGCCCATCCCTCTAAATTTACATTTAATCCTTAAAATAATTACATAACATGATTCCCATGACTATACAGTAGGTATAAAAAGGTTCCTGGTGCCCCATTACTGAGGTCAGGGGTCATTTCCTGCAGGAGCACACAGGAGCGGAGCTCCGGCAGTAAAGAGCCCAGGGGGCGGGCACATGCAACAAGCCCCACCCCCTGCTCCCAGCAGCCCTCAGTCAGAGCAAGAAGCAGCCAGGTAAGCTGCAGAGCCCCGCCCCCCTAGTCCAAAACAGTCCAGTGGCACCTTTAAGACCAAGTTTTATTTTTTTTTTTGCACACCCCTAGTGATTACAACACCTGGAAATGATGCTACCACGCTGGAAATGGCATGCAAGGACACTCTGGTATTTGGGTGAAACTCTATGGTTTTTCACCCTCAAAACCATAGAGTTTGCCCAAATACCAGAGAATCCCCTGCACAACATTTCTAGTGCGATAACGGCACTCCTGAGTGACATCATTCCATCAGGGGTGGTACTTCTGGTTTTACTGGAAGTGGATACAAAAAGATTGCTGCGAAAGTTCACTGAAATATACAAAAGATGTTCAGTAGAAAATTCAACTTTTCATGATGTTATTTAATTCTTGTTTCCAACAGGTGCCAACAAGATGCACAGCACAGGAACAGGACGAACACTTCTCGAGTGTATCTGCGTTCGTTTCGAGATATATTCTTTATCAAACTTCCTATCAATATAATAATAAAGATAATATCATAGGAAACAGTCACTCCAGACAATCTCACTATTGTACTACTTAAAGAAGCTTGAATATTATACATACACTTCTTTAAGTAGTACAATAGTGAGATTGTCTGGAGTGACTGTTTCCTATGATATTATCTTTATTATTATATTGATAGGAAGTTTGATAAAGAATATATCTCGAAACGAACGCAGATACACTCGAGAAGTGTTCGTCCTGTTCCTGTGCTGTGCATCTTGTTGGCACCTGTTGGAAACAAGAATTAAATAACATCATGAAAAGTTGAATTTTCTACTGAACATCTTTTGTATATTTCAGTGAACTTTCGCAGCAATCTTTTTGTATTCATTGTATGTTGTTGCTGTGCCCTGAGTTTATATAGATAACACTTCCGGTGATGTCAGGGGGTGTGGCCTATGCAAATACGTTATGCTAATGAGCTATACTAATGAGCTCCTGCACCTCTTTTTCTATGAAATGACCCCTGACTGAGGTTATATGGTCTGTGATTTGCCAAGTTCTTGACAAGTTGAGACCACATCGAGTACAGGGCTCTCCATTCCAACTTGGCCCCTTTTCGGCATAAACTCAGGAAAAGGTGCTTTTCCCCAGCAGTACTTCCTCAGGCCTCTGACTGATGTGACCCTGGGCGTTCTGTGAATGGTGGCTTTTATCTAAAGACTTATACTCCGCTTTTCCCCCCAATGGGGACCCAAGGCAGCTCACGACTTTGTTCGCCTCTCATCAATTTTATCCTCCCGACAACCCTGTGAGGCAGATTATCCTGAGAGAGGGGGTGATTTGGCCCACGGTCACCCCGTGAGCTCCCACGGTGGAGTGGACATTCAGATCCGGCTCTCCCGGTTCTCACAAATCGCCCAAGAGACCTGATTCTTAGCAGTGCTGCTTAAAAGTTTGGTGTCGTGGTTAAGTGTGCGGTCTCTAATCTGGGAGAACCGGGTTTGATTCCCCCACTCCTCCACTTGCACCTGCTGGATGACCTTGGGCAAGCCGTAGTTCTGTCAGAGCTGTCCTTGAAAGAGAGCAGTTTCTGTCAGAGCTCTCTCAGCCCCGACTCCCTCCCAGGGTGTCTTCTGTTGTGGGGAGGGGAAGGGAAAGGAGTTTGTAAGCCGCTCTGAGACTCCTTTGGGTCATGAAGGGTGGGTATAAATCCAACCTCTTCTTCTTCTTCTAAAAGGTGGGGAGGTCAAATGTTGCAATATTCCTTAAAAAAGAAAACGGAAATTCTCCAGTCTTGGAAAACTCAGTGTTGGGAGGCAGGATTTGAGTCTAGTCTTGTCCCTGACACTCCTGTTTAGGGTTGCTAGCTGATGGGGAAATGTGGGGTGCAGGGACCTTTTCATGCACCCTCATTCCCACCCTGTTCAATTTTGGGAGGGAGAGAAGCTGGCTTCCCAACTGCAGAGAGAGAGAGAGTGCATTGTTCTAAACAAAAACTCATTTTGTTACACGCTCATAAGTCAGAAAAGGAGCTGCGGTGGCTCAAGTGGTTAAGACGCTGAACTGCAGGCTGTGGAAGGTCGGTAGTTCAGCAGTTCGAGACCCGAGTGTGCCGCATGACGGAGTGAGCGCCCATCTCTAGTTCCAGCTCCTGCCAACCGAGCAGTTCGAAAGCAAGAAATTGCAAGTAGATAAATAGGTACCACTTCGGTGGGAAGGTAACAGCGTTCCGTGCTCCTTGGTGTTTAGTCATGCCGGCCACATGACCACGGAAATGTCTTCGGACAGCGCTGGCTCTTCGGCTTTGAAACGGAGATGAGCACCGCAACCCTAGAGTCGGACTCGACTGGCTTTCGAGCAATGGAACCTTTACCTTTACCTTTTTAAGTCAGAAAACATTTTTGTAACTGTTATATATTGGGACTGAACCATTCCAGGTATGTCACGCCAGAGAACAATAGCCTACCAGGATTCTGGAAGTAACCAATCAAGTCATAATGTTACGTAAATAGCCTATCACTGGGAGTGGGGTGTGTTTGGGTGTGGCGATTGCATGCTACTTAACAGAGCTGCGGCTCTGGGTTCTTGCCTTGCTCTTGCTGAGATCACAAATAAAGTTGAGCTGATCACTGGACTCAAGCCTGCTCATCCATGGAACCCCCACTATTTAACAGTAACGTTTCAATATTCAACACAGAATATTTCAACACAACCCCAGTACCAGAGGTCATTTCGGGGAGGATCGCGGGGGATCGCAGTTCCCCCGGGTGAGGTACGGGGGCGGGGCACATTACGAAGCCCCGCCCCCTGCTTCCGGCCGCCCCGCTTCCGGCCCTCATTCAGCCAGGAGGAGGCAGGAGAAGAGGGAGGGTAAGTTGCTTCCTCCCTGCCTCTCCCCACCCCTGCCTGCCTGGGGCCAGGGAGGGCCTTTGCGGGGCTTCCTTGCACTCCCGCCAGCCTTGCAGGTCCACTGCTGGGCCCCTCATGGAGCTCGGCAGTGGAGCTGCAAGGCCGGCGGTGGCGGCCGGGACCGTTGGGGGCGGGGTGTGTGGCCTTATGACACACTTCCGGTGATGTCAGGGGGTGTGGCCTTATGAAACACTTCCGGCGATGTCAGGGGGTGTGGCATATGCTAATGAGTTATGCTAATGAGTCCCCCTAGCTCTTTTTCTACAAAACGACCCCTGCCCAGTACATAAATAGAGCACTTGTAATTCTATAAAGGATATCCTTGGTGGTTCTACCAAGACCCATAACTGCTGGGTGGTTGATCATAACAAGACATTAAGTACTCTTTTTCACCCACAGAAGCTACTGTAACTGTCAGTCAAGTCTGCAACCAGCATTTGACACACATCTGACGTATCCAACAAAGTCAGCCCCTTTCTTTCTATCTCTGGGGTCGGGAAAGTCAAGGAAAGCTGGGTTAAGTCAGGATGACTCATAGAATTGAGGAAACTAGTTTCTGAGACTCTTATCTATTTAGAATTTGATAGTGACTTCTGACTGCTGTAAAGTATAAATATTCCTAGTAGTCAAAACCCACGTAAGTCAAAGAGGAGGAGGAGGAGAAGTTATACCCTGCCTTTCACTCCCTAAAGGTGTCTCAGAGTGGTTTACAATCTCCTTTCTCTTCCCCTCCCCACAACAGACACCCTGTGAGGAAGGTGGGGCTGAGAGAGCTCTTTCGAGGACTGCTCCTGAGAGAAGAGCTCTGAGAGAACTTGTGACTGACCCAAGGTCCCACCAGCAGCTGCATGTGGAGGAGTGGGGAATCAAATCCGGTTCTCCCAGATTAGAGTCCGTGCTCCGAACCACTGCGCCAAACTGGCGCTCCATGAAGGCGACACACAGCACATAACAGCGGCCTGAAGCTTCCTGGGAGCAGAACAGAACCAAAGTTTCAACTACATAGGCTTATCACTACAGATATTAAAGTGCCATAGGTGTTCCAGAGGTTTTTTCAGAGTTTTAGCAGAGGACTGAGAGTCAACCCAGCCGGAATTCCGCAACACCAGCCTCCAGGCGGCGACTGGGGATCTCCTAAATTGACAACTGCTCTGCAGGCAACAGACATCAGAAAATCGCCCCTTTGGTAGGTCAGCGTTACGGTCCCTCCCCTCCCTAAACCCCACCCTCCTCACTCAGGCTCCACCCCCATAATCTCCAGGTGTTTCCTAACCTGGAGCTGGCAACCCTATAATGCAGGGAGTTTTGTTTTTTTTGGTATGGGGTTCTGTTCCATCCTGTGTGAGCCCCCTTCCAGACGCTGCAGTGGTTCGGCCCAGGCAGAGATTATACACCAGCTCATCATCAGTCGCTTGTGGGAAAGAGCCCTGCCTTTAGTGACGAAAGACCCGAGTCTTGCTGTCTGTGATGCAAAACAGGCACCCGCTCGGTCAGCGACCTCCTTAATCACTGCCCCCCCCCCTTTCAGTCTTTTAACAAGTCAAAGTTCACGTTTCGTGGCTGTCTGCCCAGGCAGTCCCAGGCAGGGCTCTTTGCAACTGTACGTGAGTGTATCTTTCAAGAACGTGCTCCTAGAATGCTGACAGCCACAATAACCCTAACCACAATAACCATATACAATCAGGGCGCAACAGAAGACATGAGAATCGGTCCTCCGATGCACACTCCTTTCCTCTTCTGTGTTGCTCAGCGAGCCTGCAATTG